GGGACACATCTCAAAGTGTCCCGCAAGCAAGTCCCGGGCGTCCCGTAGCAATGTTCCTGCGTCCTGCATATAGGGACACACTCAAAGTGTCCCGCAAGCAAGTCCCGGGCGTCCCGTAGCAATGTCCCTGCGTCCCGTTTGACAAGAGGAATCATTTCGCTCGATGCCGCGAACGCGTAAAGACTGTCTTCTGTGCGGAAAGAGAAACCTTTGCAAATTATCAAATCATTTGGCAGACATTCACCGTCTATCAAGTGAAGAAAGACGTATTTATCTGAGTGACGCCATGTCATCTTGCGCAGATGAAGAAGACGACAGCATTATGCACAGATCAAAAAGAGCTAGGATGGATAATTACGATGAAGGGGTTTCTTCCTCGTCTCAAAACGGCGATATTTTCGATAGTGATGACGAGAAAGAACATAGCAGTGAAGAAGAGAGCAACAGCGAAGAAAATGAGAACAGCGAGGAAGATGACAGCAAAGAGGAAAGCGAAGAACACAAATCCAGCGAAGATGGAGAGGACTACGATCCCTGGCAAACGTTGATACACGAAGCAAAACTGCAACTTTTGGATAAATTTCAAGAAAACGTTGAATGCCTTAATAATGAGGGTTTTAGTGATGTTGAAGCTAAGAGGCAATCGTTTTCAGAACTTCTTCCCAAACTCACAAAAGAACTAGAAGATATTTATGTAGAACGGCTGTTATGGATGTCACACATGAGAAAAGATCCAATTCACAAGAAGATCATGCAGACAAGAGATAATTTGATTGACGCAGATTTCCTCGACCGCGAAGAAGCTTTATATTCCGCAGTAGAAAAGAGAAAGTTTCTTTTTGAACGTCTTTTAGAAAAACGACAACATTATTCAGACGATGAAAGCGATACTATCGAATAAATTGTTGTACTTTTATACTTTAAAAATAAATTTTATAAATCCTATTTGTTTGTCTGTTATATTTGTTATAGTATTCATCCCACTGAAGCTCTAAAACTCTGGTCACCTCAACAAACTTATTCCATACCATGTCTTTTTTGGCTAACTCGCTCTATGGTTTCCAAATCATACATCTGCGATCTCTCCTCATACAATAACATAAGACACTCACCCATGCACTCATACCTATCGTAATAGGCGTATGTTTAGCATTATTAATCTCAACATAATTTGACATAAACATTTGCATATAACAACTATAATGGCTATCATCTCAGCTCGCTAGTTCAATATCTCAAATAGCTGTAAAAAATTAATCAAATTCCGTGTATTTCACAAAGAAGCAAGCTCAATTAGAACTTAAGCAATGAAAAACGATAGATGTGTGTTTATCGAATGGGAGTATCATTTTCAGCAAAATGTGCACTACACACAAAAATATGTGGGTTGTGCATGGGATGTTTAACTTAAAACATTTGCATATAATATAATGATTAATGGCTCATCTCAACTCGCTAATTTACTATCTCAAATAGCTATAAAAAATTAATCAAATCTCATATAGTTCACAGAGAAGTAAGCCAAATGTGACGATATCACCCTTAAAGGGTTTGTAACCTTAGTATTGCCAACGGCTGCCAAAATGTGCGTGTGTGTTGCGTGTGCATGGGATGTTTCACTTAAAACATTTGCATATAATAAATACCATGGCTCAGTTCAACTCGCTAATTAGTAATTAAATATCTCAAATAGAAGAGAAAAAATCAATCAAATCTCGTGTATTTCACAGAGAAGTAAGCTAAAATAAAACTTTATCGAATGGGGGAAAATCATTATTCAGCAAAGAGTACAGCATACTTGATTTTTTCACACGTTAGACCGGTACTGACTCTCAGCGAGGACTTCGTTTGCACTGATCACGACATCTTCGTTTGTTGCCCAGGATCAACGTTTGACAACAAACGTTTACTCTATCGATAACGTTTGTGTCTTTTTTTTTTACTTATTAGTATATTACTATTATTATAAATGTTTAGGCTATTCCATTGACTGTTAAAACTGATGTCGTGACCAGCAAATCCCCTACACTGAAAACTGGTCTTGATCAATGCATACTATGAATATGAAAAGGATAAATCGAGTGTGTGTTCATCGAGTGGGGAGTATTGATTTTCAGAAAAGTGTACACTACACACGTTTGATTTGTCCACATTTTAGGGGTATTGATCGATACATACTATAGATATATGAAAAGTTAAATCGATTGTTTCGTTTAATGTATTGACTCTTAGCAAAACTTGATCGGTGCATACTATAAATATATGAAAAGTTAGATTGAGTGTTTCGTTTAATTCTTTTAGTATATTTGGTGGCCCTTAAAAGAGCCGTTTTTGTATGTCTTGTACGTCTCCCTTACTCTAAAAGAGACGTATCAACATCCAACACATATTGTGCGGCTAATGATTCCTTTTGCTCACTCGACGATTCCTTGGCGTGTTTCGCCTGAAACTCCAGAAACAGCTCCAGATCCCGCTCCGCTACAAACGCCATGAAATCTTCAAGGGTTTCTCTATCTTCTTGTTTTCGTTTCCTGTATTCACGCATACGTAAGGCATCCTTTTCTGCTTTCACCTCCATTATGAACAAACACGAAATGTGCAGTGCAATTGAATATTAAATACATTTAGCACACACACACACACACACACACACATGCAATATAATTAATGCTTACAATTAAACCGGATACATACAGTTGAACGTTCGTACTTCATAATTTACGCCGGAATAGTTGAGCGTTCATACTTATAATAATTTATGCTGGAATAGCTGAACGTTCATACTTCATAATTTATGCGAGTATTTCCGGTGATGTCATTGACTATATGACGTCATACATATATTCGCTTGAATACTAATTACTCCCGTACCCATATGGGGGGGGGGGGTTACCTACTTAGGGGATTAGGTACCGCGAATTTATCATTATGATAAATTCAAAATGTGCCGCGAATTTATCATACTCATATAGTAAATTCAAAGGTGGAGCTCATGCTGGATTCCGCCCGAGGGAATTTTACTAAATGACCCTCATCGAGCGGCGCCCAAGGGAATTATACTAAACGACCCTCATCGGGCGGGACGTTTTAATAGCTAATTCGCTTCTTTTTATGCTATTACTTATAATAATACTTTTTGTTTGTGAAAACACTACGTAAATTGATCCGTAAGCCCGGATCTTCATCAGTGCCAATAATATGTGACTTGTTCAATTCACACGTCCTTTTTATATATCAAAGTGTCGTGATCCTGTTGGCTCGCGTCATTTGAAATTTAATAAAAACGGTACATCAATCACGCCGTCACAGGCAAACATAGTGAAGTGATTATAATTATTGCGCGCGCATCCAAGACAAGAGAAATTAATTTTGCACATTAAAGAGAGCACGGCACGTATACCATCTAGTGGCTTTCCCTTCTCGTCTATTATAGTGTTGTGCTTCTCAATTTCAATTGACTATCAATCGCCAAAATGGTTGTTTCGATTCGTCCCATTTTATACGATGGTCGTAAGGCCAAGTATGTTTAGCCACAGCAGATTTATCTTGCTCGGCTTTCTCGCAATTTTTCTTATGGGAGACTTCGACCAATTTATTAAGTTAAGATTATTATGGTTGCTTGAACAACGCTTTCATTTACAGTTAAGTATAATCTAGCTATCTTTAAAATATAATGTAGTTTTTCGCTGAATCGTGCACCGTAACTTACTGACATACATCAAAATAATCCCGCCTCACATCTCGTCCTATAGCAAATTGGAATCATATAAACAGCCCCTTATTTACCAAATTGTGTATGCTGCCTTTGCTCCCTGGCGGGAAAGGCAGCGCTTTCCTTGTGATAGTAATTCCTAGTTAAAGTAAGCGGGATAGCCCGGTTTGGCCAGACAAAAGGCCAGCCTAGTTCATGTAATCGGCCTCCGAAAATGTATAGAGTATAAAATTTTCGTATATGTTTAAATCACATATTATTGTTTTTAAGCGTTTATTCTTGATTTCATAACATCGAAATTTGATATACCAATAAACAAACACAAATAACTTTGCTGATTATATCTTGAAATATAATTTTGCGGCCTCATTGCATGAACGCTAAAAATAAAATTAATATAATTAATTTGTATCTTACCTCAGAATTCACTGCTAGCTTAAGTACATTTGATTTGTTTAGTTCAGGTGGAATTTTGGTCATGGGTGGTATATTTTCTAACAGTGAGCACTTCGGTAAGTTCGGTTTATCCGTAGAATCAGGTGAAACAAGTTGACGCACGAGCGACGAAAGCTCCGCAATTTTCTCGTCACTCATACTACCAGTCCTTGAATATACATCTAAGTTCATTTCGTTCTTTACTGACATTTTCCCGCCTTTATATGACGCGGTAACACTCAAAATGCCGTTGCTGTTAACAGTAAAAATTGCGTTGATTTTTGGCACGCCTTTGGGGTGTGGTGGTATACCCGATAGTTTAAATTCGCCAAGGAACTGACACTTGTCTGCTGTTGCGTGACACTCACCTTCATAAACTTGGATAACTATCGCTGTCTGGCTGTTTGTGTATGTTGTTAAACTTACATTCGCTGAGCACGGGTACAGTTGGCTACGTGCGAAAACCTCGTGCATTTTTTCATGATCAACCACAATCTTAATAGGCAGCGGTATTGTATCCACATGTGGCCGCCAAGTTGCGTTCACTATTCCACCAATTGCCGCTCCAAATTTTGCCGCTCCTCGACTGACACCCTACGAGGTAAGATAAGATGGGTGTCGGTCTTTACAGACTATTTATTCCCCTAAGTGTACGGGAGGGAACAAATTATGGAAGCAGAAACTTCCCAAATTTTTGTCGACGGTGGTGTGGGATTGTTTGAGTAGTACCCTCTTACCACCGCATGCGTGTGCTCGGGGATTAGATTTATACAGCTGATTCAATTAATGTTGTCCTTGCAAAACCTTAAACCTTAAACTCAGAGCGCGTAAGGGGTGATGGGTTTTCAGCTATTAGGCCCTTAAACTCAGAGAATTGCCTTTGCAGCAAGTATGTTTTCTGTCGTGAGTCTTCTATATGTCGTAGGTATTCTTGCAAAGCCAAATTTCAAAATTTATAAGTCTAAATAAGCAATACTGACCCATCATCCTTTGCGCGCTCAGAGTCACGACCAAGACAGGACAGCCACGAAAGGTTTTAAAGCATCTTAAGACATTATGGAAGAAAAAATAAATGATTTGGGAAAAAGAACTGGTCATTATTTCGACGATTTGATCCCAAAGGTGCGAATGTCTTTTCATCTTTTAAACAAACAATAAAACAATTATTGAATTAACGGTTTTTGCCATATATGAAGCTAAGAATTCTCAAGCCCTCAGTTTAGCAAACTCCTAACTTGATAAAAACGGCTTATTGACCGAGCGTGAGGTCTGTACTGTGAAATATCAAACCGAGGTTTTTTAGTATGGACCGAGCGACGAAGGAGCGAGGTCCATGCAAAAAATAGAGGTCCGATATTTCACAGTACAGACCGAACAAGCAAGGTCAATAATCGGTTTCTTATATGGCTGAACTGAGTCTGTGAGCATATGCTTTTCGCGCGAATTAAATCGGCTATCGTCAGTTTCACTGGGTAACAATATACGGTGGGCATGCACGCTCAATCAAAAACAATTTTGTTTTACAGGTAAAGCACAATTGGAAAATTAAAAAGCAAATTTTTTTTCTGTTTGCAAAGCAAAAAATTCCCGCCAGATAAACAACATCTGGGACACCATTCCAGATACGAAAAATACGGTCCACGGTCCGGATATGGGTTTTTACGGACCGCTTGTCAACCAATCAGAATTGAGAATTTTGAAAAGCCATATAATTATTCTTTGTATCATACTCAACCTCATTCGGTAATTGCTAATTGTTAGTGTCTGGTTGTCGAAGGCATCATGCAGTGTGATGCATGGCTAACGGTTTTTTTCTCTCTGTTAGAATTAAGAAACTCTCTTTGAGAACCTGTATCAAAATGATCGCCCAGAAATGCGAAGACAACCTCAATATTAGTAAAAGTGTAAAGTTCGAGCTTGTAATATGAAAATGTAAAACAGAAATAGGATTTGTATGGGATAATGCCTCGACATCCAAGCTTTTTTTATACAAATATTTTAAGAGCATTTTCAACCTCAAATTTCAACGCCATTTCTTCCATATTTTATCTCACAAGCTAAAACTTTGCACTTTTACCAATATCGAGGTACTCTTTTCATTTCCCTGGTGTTCATTTTGGCACAGCTTCTCGTTTTTAGGAAAATGGGTTCACCAATTCCTCCAAACGGCCTATTCAATGTCAAATTCAAATCGTAAAATCAGGCCTCTTGTAATTCTCTCTATTAAAGTAAGCAAATATTGTTATATAGTTAGTGCCAAAGTTCAATTTTTCTGTTTGCCGATTGGTCAAAACCGCGTCACGTGCTGGTCCACAAAACGTCATGTTCGGCAACCGGTCCGCAATCAAACATCTATTGACCGGTCAATAATAAAATGGGTGCAATACGCATGCGTGTCAACCATGAAGTTCCAAAGTTCAGTTTTTTCTAAACTTTTCTAAACAACTTTTTACTAAACATTTACGGCGTTCCATTTATCTAGTTTTGGTTTCAAATTAAGTTCACTGAAAACATGCTTCTAAATAATGTTTTTCAGTGGTTTTTGTACTTGGATTATATTAAAATATATACTACATCTCTTATTTGATGTTATTGGGATACTCATGCAACGTAGCAAAAGAAACTACATTTTTGCCGTTAAAAACGCAAGAGTTTGGTTGTTGGGTACGAAAGAAAGACATGACCCTATTATTTTTTAGCTCGTAAATATAATTAGCAATGGCTACCCGACATATATTTTCAGATAAAAAAGGACCTATTGGTAGTACCTGTACTGGATCTTTGAAGTAAGTACTCTCAGGCGTTACATTCGGAAAGTATTCCTTAAGTAACCGCCGTAATTTTGGAATATGAACTGTTCCACCAACAAGATAAAGGTCCTTGACATGTTTCCTTGTTATGTGTCCACGGGATAATAGAGAATCTAACGGCTTAATCATGTCATTCAAGATGTCCGTAATAACATTCTCGAACTCATGTCGAGTCAAAGGATAGTGTAAAGGTGTAGTACCCTGGTCGGCAACGTTAACCTCGACCGTCAAAGTATATTCATCTTTCTTGCTTAATGCTCTTTTAGCCTTTTCACATTCGATGCGGAGATTTTGCTGAAACTCAGGTTTGCTTAAATCTACCCCGGGGTCTGTAATACTTTTTTGAAATATTTTTGATATTTTGTCCGCCAATCGTATGTCTATGTCCCTACCACCAAGAGTCTTGTTACCATCCGTGGTTATAACTTTGTAGTAAGAACCACGGATTTGCATGTAGGAAAAGTCACTAGTGCCACCTCCGATGTCCACCACAACAGAAGATGTTGTATCTTTTGGTTCCGGTACTTCGGCTTCATCTTCTGTCCCGCGCAAATCGTCTATAAAAGTTGCAGCTGCAAATGCAGCTACGGTAGGTTCATTAACGATTTTTTGTGGGTTTAATCCCGCTATTAGGCCAGCATCCATCGTCGCTTTTCGCTGGGCATCGTCAAATTGCGCCGGCACACTGATCATGACGTCTTTGATAGTTACACCTAGTTTCGTCTGCGCAATTTCGACCACATGACGAAGTATTAAAGCGCTGATAACCTCCGGCTGTATTAACTTACTTTTATATCTTTTGCAAGGTATGTCAATAGCAGCTCGAGTACCTTTTGACGAATGAGATTTTAAAGTCGGACGCACTCGGTAAACAAATTTATGGCCGTCAACGTCGTAAAAGTTTTGTCCCATGAGACGTTTCACTTCGTAGATCGTTGACAAAGGATTAATGACTGCCTGATTTAATGCTTTTTTGCCAATCAGGAGTTCTCCATTATCAGCAAAAGCTACAACTGATGGCATACAAACTTCATCATCTTCGTCGCCGTTTAATTTAATGTCTTCTTTCCTTCCGTCTTCGGTAATGTACGAAACGCATGTCGTGGAGGTACCAAGATCAATGCCAAGAACATAGGGTGGTTTCACAGCCACCCTCACGATCGAACCTGTAGAATTTGACTGTGACTCCATACCATAGTTGTCCTTACATTTATATTCAAATGTGTAAATTCCAGCTTTTGAAAATTTAATATAACCATCTTTAGATGGTTTGATCTCGCCTACATCTGGAGGACCGCTAACATATTCCCACCGTTTGTCAACAATGTAACCTCGCATTGGTCGGCAATTTGCGCGAAGTTGTACAGAGCCAAATTCTATCGAAACGTTCAAATGATGTTTAATGTCGTAAACTATTGGAGAAGGCTTCTCGCCGATCATGACAAAAAAATGTTGTGTATTTGTGCGATTATAATTATCCATACAGGTTAATTCGAATTTATACTTTCCATGCTTGTTGGGGATTTTTAAGTTCTTGAGGGATGCATCAATTTTTTTCGAGGATATCCTGAGACATTCCTTGGTCCCACCCTGTATGACTGTACCTTCAACGCTCCCTGGAATTGGTTCTAACTGTTTCCAAACGCACTTTTCAATCTGATCAGCTGCAAACGCTCGGCATGTCGCTTTAATTTGCCACTCCCCCTTCGACGGTGCCACATGAATGTTTTCGTGGTCAAACGTTATTTCTGGTTTCAAACTATCAATCAAACGACTGATAAAAATGGCGACGCCTAGAAAAACAAGTGTCAGCAAGAAAAATATCCAAGGCCAACCAATCTTCAACCAGATAATTTCTGCTGGAGCTAAAACAAATAATACAGGACAAAATTCAACATGATAATTATGATATATGAAGGCAGGTGAATGCAAAGTAATAAAAATCTTCGAACTAAGCTAAATTCATAACTGTCTGTGTTGGATTAATTGTATCATTTCTGTCTAAACTTCCTCAAATATACAGTATATGCATGCATGCATGCATGCATGCATGCAAGATCGAACCATGCATGCTTTCTGATTGGTTACTTGAATACTCTCTACTTCTGATTAAAAACGATTCGCGAAAGTGAAAGCAAGTCTGAAAAACTTCTCATAAGAATTTAAATACATGTAGTGAAGGCTGTTTCCATTTAAATTTTAATTGTTCATACGTGTATGTGCATGGGTAACTACGAGAAAGTTTCATTTTACGGTATACGCACGTATGAAAAACGCTTAACTGGAAAGCAGCTTAAGGAACGAAATAGAAAGCATGATTTCTTAGTTTCAAATAATGCCGAATCGTTTTGAAGAAACATTGGTGGTTTTTCTTTCAAATATCCCATGTATTCCATGGAGGGCACTTATATGAAGAAATTATTTGCCTCCGCGAATAATAATTTTATTGCTTCCCATTCCATGTTATTTGTTTATTTAAGCTAATCTGCATAGTGGGTAAGTCGCAGTGTGTAAACGTTCAGCTAGTATTTTTATTGTCACGATTCAAACCTTAGCTAGTATAAGTTGTTATAACTAATGTGTTATAGCTTGTTCTTTATCTGTATTTATATTTAACGTCTTTTTGGGGGTTAGGTGTCAATTGGGACGAGAGTCCTGTTCCTTTCCCCTGTCACGAAAAAAAAGCCTCAGGCCAAACTGGTTTTACCGGTATTAGTAGCCCTAATGTATTTTACGGGAAAGAGTTGTTACATTTTGCAATTTCACAGTAAGATTTTTATCATGAACTGCATGCGGTATAGTACGTGACCCTATATAAAAAACTTCACAAGTCACGACGAGGAGATTTTTCTCAAGCTACTGGCTCGTCACGTCTTCAAGTTTCATACAAGAATTTCGTTGGATCGGAGGTATTCTGGCTTTGCCTATTTAATAAATTTCTTTGTTAATTAGTTTGCATAGTATACGTCAGGCTTTATACCAAACATTTTAATACTCGGCCACTCTTTCGTACATCGCTTAAACGATGATTTGAATTCGGATTTTGAGAAGCACGCGTGTAGGAATTTCATCTGGCGTCTTCAGGACTTCCCTGCTGGCAGAGGTCTCTATTTGTGCTGGGAAGCGAAGCAGCGAAGAGACCTCTGCCTAGATCTGACACTTCCTCTGTCCATGATCGTGGACGAGTCAAACTAGTTTGTAAAACAAGTTCTGAAACCGGTTTAGAGAAACAAATAGTACGCATGCTCAGAGCTGAATTACGCTGTGATAACATTGAGCCCGTAGTGTCAAAATGGCGGCTTGCACAGAGTGGTCATTTCGAGGTTTTTCATGATATTTTCAAAGATGAAACTGTGAAAGCAGTGACAGAACAAAAGAAAGCAATCTTTTCTGTTTTATCGGGCCGAGATCATTTGTTTGCCTTCAAACTACGGTACGTCTTTGAATTACCAAGTTACTCCCGCAATAACCGGTTTGATACCATGTGGTGAACATCACTCGTTGTCATGGCAATTTTTGCACTTGCGCGACAGAAAACGTGTCGGATCTAGGCAGAGGTCTCTTCTCTGCTTCGCTTCCCAGCACAAATAGCCAGCAGGGAACTTCAGGACATGTTTCCTTGAAAGGCACAGGCGGCCGGACTGTAGATGAAATTTTTGCGTACGATATAGAGTGGTTGAAGGGTTATAAGCCTGACATATTAATTCTTGAGTTAGGCACGAACGATCTATCCTGTCAACCACCTGGGGCTATTGGCTCCCGGATTCATGACCTTGCCTGCTTCCTGCGTGATGAGGTTTGCGTTTCCGTCGTGTGTGTATGTCAGGTCGTAGATCGAACTATACCACATTCCTTCCAACCAGAAATGGCATTTCATGCAAAGGCTGACATATTGCGGCAGTATTTGTCCGTGGCTTTGAAAAACGAAAAGGGTATGTTTATATGGCAACATAGAGGGTTTTTTAAGGCTGATAGGAATTTACTGTCTACTGATGGTGTTCATTGTAACCCTCAATGACAGTATTGTTTATATCGTAGCTACTGTATCGTCGTGCAATTATAAAAGCACTTGCGCTTTTAAACACATCATAATTTTCACTGGACTTGATTCACTTAGTTCACTGTACTATTTAGTTTACTCTACTATTGTTAGTATCATGAATTCATTTTAAATGATGTTAATGAATAGACTACTCAGTCGTAGTAGTTTGTTTCTGTATGTCCTTCCGTAAGGATCCATAATTTGAGTCTGTCGGTTCAATTTGTGTTGGTTTGTACCGGGCTGATACACTTGCTGTTGCATCGCGTTGCGAATTAAACCTTTACTATGCTCAGGGAATTTCATGATTACGTATCGTAGCTGATGTAGTCGTCCATTTGTATACACTATTGTGCAGTACGCATGCGCAGTCATTATGTTTAATGCTTGCATTGTTTGTGAATTTATGCAATTTTTGCATAACTTTCAGCTGCTTCCCTGAGTTAATATTATCACAATTATTTCATCTAATACCATAGTAATTCGATTGTGGTATATACCGCTTCCTTTAATGTTTAGTTCAATATATGGGTTTTTTTGCACAGCCTGTGTTTTTATTTGATTGCCCGTTCCATCCGTAGCTTAATAACGGATATCAAACCGGCTACCAGTATGGTAAGCCATGGTATTCTGCTGTTATTCATTGTCATCTTGGATGTCACTTATGTTCGACTAATCTCCACAATTCGGTGGGTTGTACAAGAGTATAGTTACATTTAGTCAGTTTCACTTTAACCGACTTTGTTGTTAATTTCCCTCGGTACATCAGCTTGTTGTCTCGCCAAAAGTTTTATTCTATTTAGAAATCATGCCGGCAAAAAGACCAAGCACGCGAGTGCAACGACGAGCCCAACCATTTGCCCCAAGCAGGCGCAGCTCACGTTCCATGCGGGTTAGCTCTACAGTCATTACAGACCCGAATGAAGCGAATCAGGTAAAGCTGGGGCTGATAATGAACGTGCATGACAACCTAAAAACTAGTGGTAATTATAGTCTAAATGTGCAAGAAGTTGTATTATGCAAGAAATGAAAATAAACCAAATGTGACTGTCGATAAATTTATTGTATAAAACGTTCTTTAACTGAACCATACAAAAATATTTTTCGTAAATTCATATGGTTCCACATTTTTGTCACTAACTTTTTTTGCGTAGCATGTATAATTTCTGCGTTGACTATAATTTATTTAAGTGTAATGATTTACTGAAAACTTTTTATTAATGTCTAAACTGCCGGTCTAGTGTATTTTTTGTTTGTCAATAGCCATGTTTTTGTTTAAGTTTTGGCATTTAAATCCCACGCCATCTTTTTTGGCCCACGCATGCGCAGGCGTCTGCGGTGTTAAAATAACCCGATTTGGGCTGTAATCGTACTATTCTTAGCCAATCAGATTGCTCGAATCGAGCATGATTTCAAAATGAATAACGATAAATACGAAAATTTCAAAAACTAAAGGACATTGTTGCTCAAGGATAAATTTATTAAATTTTGGTAAAATGTAGATGAAAATTGGATGAATAATTAGTCTTGCTCCGCGGGGCAGAGTAATAATTAGCCCACTTTTTAATTTATGCATGATACATATCACTTAATTCGTTGGCTTAGATTAGTTACCTCTGTTATGTAATTCTTCTGCGTCATTGCGTTGCTCCAACTCTCTATTTCTTTCATCGTTCTCTTGCTTTTGGAAAGGAGATAATAATAAAAATAAGAATTCAATAATTTTTGAATTTATTCATTTTAAATTGTAATAATTAATGATATTATTGTATAAAATGAAATTATTCGCGTTTGCATCATTGCTACGGTATATACCTTCGTCACCTCTGCAATCATGGTAGGACCAGAACAGTACAGGTTAAAATTCTCTGATGTCCAGAGAATTAGACAAGTCACCATACACAATGACATAAAATACCTCATCTTGATATTCATCTTCCGTATCAGTATTGCTTTCATTGTCATCACCTTCGCTTTGTCCAGAATCTGTGAAGGAAAGTAGAAAAAATGTTTAATAATTAAATGCATTGTCAACATTTTTATGGCCGCCACTACGTTGCTCGAAAAGTCGGCAGGTAGATAGTTGTAGGGAGTTTACGAATGTAAGACAGCGCGACGTCGGGACGACGGCTAAACAAACTTTTTGAAATAAATGATTGTATAAAAGTCTTGTCTTGTATTTTTGTATCAATTTAAAATAGATTCCCACGACCTTTGCAGCAATTTTGATCAACTCTGCTAGAAAAATTACCTGTCACGGCGTGCAATGCTAGCGTACTATACATGCAAGACGTGAAAATATGCATTTTGCAGTTGTCAACAAAGCTTGGACGACGTCTAAAACCCCTATTAGACTTTTAATTTTTCATGCCATTCTTTTGTACTATATGATTAATGTCATTGTATTGATAGCCGTCGTCAAGACGTCGCCGTCTCACATTCGTAAACTCCCTTGTATCTCTCTCAATACGCAGCTGTCCTTACAGACTATTCGTGAATTTATTTTTAAAATTTGCCTTTATCTTATGAGCATGATCTCGGCGTAGACTTGCTTCGGTCTATCTGTCCCAGAAATATTTTCCGTATATTTTCGCACCAGAATATACCATCTAGCTAAATTGTTTAGTTAAATCATCTTGGCCCAGAACACACGAAAAGCATATATTGACCAGCTATATATATATTTTGAAGTTATTGAATATTGTAAGAGAAGCAAACGTACGTACAGTACGTTCCACAAAACTACATACAATTTTATTTCTACCAAGAAATACAGGTAATATATATATATATATATATAGCTGGTTTTCTTCGAAATTGGTATAATTATGTTATTTATGAAAATGTGATGCCAGAAGATATATTGCGCGAAAAGTGCTTGAACTATATTTTGCTAATTGCCCTTGACTGTACTGTACTGTACTGTACTGTACTGATACACGCATTTGTTTAATTAAGCCACCAGAAAGTAAGTATTTACCTAGTGTGTTTACGGGTTCTAATTCTTCAGTATGGTCGAGTTGTTCCACCTTCTTTTCTCTTTCATCCTTTGTTTCCTTGTTAAAAAGAGATAATTTAATAAATAATATTTTTTTATTTTAAATTTAATAATTTTAAATTTTAATAATTAATTGATCAAGGCTTATCATTAGTTTAAGGGTTTTAATTTAGAAATGAATACACAAATCATATGCATTTGCATTATCGCCACCAGTATATCAATTTCATCGCCTCTGCCATCATGGTTGGACCGGAGCACTACAGATAAAATTTTCAGACTGACTGACAATACAGTTAAATTTTGAAGCCATTTAACAATGCTCATCAGTATTTTTATAACACTTCCCCCACCCTTCTCATTGTGTTTTACGAGAGTAATATACAATTACACGCGGGAATGTTGCGAGAGTTAAAGAAAGCGCAAAAAACACGAGCCGAAGGCGAGTGATTTTGCGCGCTTTTTTAAAGTCGAACAACATTCCCAAGTGTTTGGATCAGGCCATCCAAACACGGAAACCATAATTAAAAGTAATGTTTTGTAAAATAACAACTTTCCGTGTTAAAATTTGACTTTAAAAAACTTTCACTTTAAATTTCCCTGTCTGGATAGCCTGATCCAAACATAGGTTTCGACCAATCAGAGCACGCGTTATATACATGTTATTTTATAATTTTAAATCTTAGTTGGTACACATTGATTTATGAAAAACATTAGCACCTTTGCATGCACATAAGAGACTAACTAGTACGAGACAGGGTTTTAGTTTGTAAGAATGAAAAAGAAATTATTCAAGTTACTGTGGCATCATGGTCGGTCATAAAGTTCCTGCAGTGCAATCAGTAGATAACTATATGAGCGTTCCAGTTTTGCTAGTTGAAAAATAGCCGACCTCTTTATCGGCAAATAAGTAATAATTTAGCTTACAAGTGCTACACATGTCGTTCAAATGGCTTGCCGTGATTAGTATTTACCCCCAACAATTATTTATAAATTTCACAAAGATAACCAACAATTTAAATGTATTTTTAAATGAAATAATTTTAGGGTTTTCGATTTTAATATGCATGCATAATAAAAAAGTATTGTTATATAGTTAGTGTCAAAGTTCAAGTTTTTTCTGTTTCAACCATGAAGTTCCAAAGTTCATTTTTAAAACTTTTACTAAACATTTACGGCGTTCCATTTATCCAGTTTTGGTTTCAAATTAGGTTCACTCCAATAACCGGAGAATTATTCATACTTTGCCACTTATATAGCAAAACACTTATTTACTGAGACCTCGGAAAAGCGGTGTGTTTTGTGGCCCGTCTTGGCTGGGTCCACAAAACACACTGTAACTGTTTCCCTCGGTCTCAGTAAATAAGTGATAATTATTGGTCTTTACATTATTATTACATTACATCAACTTCATCAGGTTTTCAATGAATTAACTAGTGAAATACTACTATAAAATCTTCTGACAGGGTAACAATAGAGTAAGAGTATAAACATCATCGTGACATTAAATTAAATACCTCTTTCTCGTGCTCTTCAGTATTGTTGGGATGATTTACATCATCAGCGTGTGCAGGCGCTGCTTTATCAGTATTTTCAGTTTCATTGGAATTTTTATCAAATTCACTTGGTTTAGATTCTGCGAAAGAGAGTAGATAACGTGCTTGTAAATATATACTTATATGCATTTACTTGACAAGTTATGTTCAGTTACAATCAGAGAGTAGACCTAATCTAAATATTATGTTTAAATAATTTTCTTTCAACGCAGATTCGCGCAAAAGAAATTAAACGATTCCAAGTCAGATATACAATGTTTAAGGCCCCAGTTAAACAAGGATGAAAGTTGATGAAAGTTCAGAAGAAAGAATTTCCATGAGAGTTTTCTCAACTCTCGTACCACAATCAAATGAGAACAAGAATTGTGTGTGAATGGACCAATCCCCAATTAACCAAAATTTTGAACTCAACAAGTTTAGACACAAATTTCATCACAGCTTGAAAGAGCATCACAAAATTAGTAATATTCCCAAAGTTTCGTTTTAAAATGTTGTAAAATATGGATAATATAGCCTTGCGAAGTTGCAATTTTCAGTCATTTTAGATTACAAACGGGAAATGGTTACCACTTCCGTGCGTAATACTAAATGACTGAAAATTACAAATTTCGCAAAGCTATATTATCCGCATTTTACAACATTTTAAAACGAAAATTTGGAATATTACTAATTTTGTGATGCTCTTTCAAGCTGTGATAAAATTTTTGTTTAGGCTTGTTGAGTTCAAAATTTTGGAAAAGTGGTAACCGTTTCCCGCTCGTCAGTAATATATATACAATGACTGAAAATTGCAAATTTCACAAGGCTATATTATCCGTATGTTACAACATTTCACAACGAAACTTTAGAATATTACTAATTTTGTGATGCTCTTTCATATTTTGATGAAATTTTGTCTAGACTTGGTGAATTCTAAACTTTGGTTAACTGGGGATTGGTCCATTGATGAGAGTTGATTGGACAATATATACTATGCATGCGTAGCGAAAATTCTCACCAACTCTCATCTAAATTTGAAGACACTAAAAGTTGATGAAAGTTGGCGGGAAAATGCGAGCGAGAGTTGCAACCCTAGCTTATCAACTCTCATCCTCGTTTGACACTCAAGTCCAGAGGCGATCTAAAATCGCAACGTTGATCCTATATATTCACGAAATGACGTGAACGATATAAAAAAAGAATAAATGAAGCCATGTTGCGACTTTACATCATGATCAGTTAGAATTTGGTAGTCCCAACTAGAATTACAGTTCTCACCATCACGTTTTTCACCTGCACTGCTTTTTCCTAGCAGTTCGATCTCCATATTTTGTTTATTTATAACAGGACTGCATTGAACATGAGCATCCGACTCTGAGGTGATTGATTTTTCAGGGGTCTCAAATTGATCTTTTTTTCCAAAGCTTGACGTCATTCCTCCGTCCTCGGGGATGATTACAATATCGTCTGCCATAGAATCAGTCATGCTCATGCCATCTTGTTTGGTCGCCATCTTGGAATGGAATTGTCACACTTTTGAAGAAATTTTGACTGCATGAAACTGTATACTCGAAGGCTAGACTAAACCCTAAAGACAAATCATTGAACACATGCATTATTGCATCCTCTTCGATTAAACGAGACAGTTTCCTATATGGTTAACCAATTAAGCTGCAGTGCTTCTCCATTGACGAGTAAAGTAGGGCGCACTGCGGACAATGTGCTAACTAGAGACATTGTCAGATTTTTTGGTTAACCGATTAAGCTGCAGAGCTGCCCCATTGAAGAATAAAATCGTCTGACGTTGGACAATTAAAAATAAAATTAAGTAAGGCGCACTGGGGCGCATTGCGGTTCAATGAGTTAATGAGGATGGCAACAAAGAACCGAACGCTAAATGGAAAATATATACAATCTAATCGCAATTCAGTATAGGAGAGTAACTAAAGTGAGTACGGGGGGGAGGGTGTGGTGCTAATCGTCATGACGTGTAACTGAGAGCTACGGATGCAGCTCATCCTGATGGAGTCGAAGTTATTCTGAGGGCGTCTCTGACAGCGACCTTATGACTAATGTCTCATTACGGAGGAAAGCTACGGTGGAAGGGTCAGTTAGGAGGAGTTCCAACTCTCTGAACATTTGGACAAAACACACGACCTTCGGTCGAGCATTCACTGACTCTTTTCACATGTTTCCGCAGCAGAAATCGAACCGCGGCTGCTTTGACGATTGCGTCAACAAAGTAAGTCGGGTCTTACAAATACAAAAGCTAGACCATTAATTTTGTCATTCCTTTCTCGCCTTCAGATATCTTACTATTAGCTAAAATTAGCTGACGTTAGAAGTATATTAAGAGCAAAATCAATAAAGCATCCAGTTTGCACACAGCTCAGTGTACATAAATTAGCAAATTTATATTATGCTATGCGTTACATCAAGTAATAATATACATAAAAACATTATTCTTCTGTGATTGGTTGATTTTAGTGCAGTTAATCTCAAACAGCTGTAACAACAGTCCAAAGATCTGTAACAACTGTACAAAAATCTGTTACAAAATGATGTGATTGGTGGAAAACAATGGAATTTAAAATAAGCCAATTAGCTTAAAACATTCCTCAAGTAACGGTCACAGATCGCTTCAAAATAAAATAAATTTGGCGGCCGCGCAAAATAAAATAGAAGTCCTGTTTGGGTGGAAAATAAGGCTTTTATCTTTTCCCAAAATGGAAAAGACTAACAAAATTGACATAGTTGAGTGAAATTTTCAAGCCGTTTGGGTTGCATAATTTGATAAAACAAAGCGGGAAAACTTTCCAATTGTCTGGAATATTTTTATGTAAACATGTATTCACTCGTAAATGTTTTATCCAAAGTGCACTCGACTATACTAATAACTATAGCTACTAATAATATACATAAAAATATTACTCGACTGTGATTGGTTGGTTTCAGTGCAGTTAATCCTAAACAGCGATGCAATTTTCTGTAATCACATGCAATTTTGTGTAATCACAGTTCAACTTTTTGCAATCACAGTGCAATTTTCTGTAATCACAGTGCAAAAATATGTGTATTAATAAGTAATAGCACGGTTTCTCGTGAAATTTGGATAAACATGCACTCGTGCATGAGTTTTTCAAAGACCTCAAATAGCACTCGTTTCAGACTCGTGCGATTTTGAGTTCTTTGAAAAACTCACTGGTACATGCTATATCCAAATTGCACTCGAAACCATGCTATTACCTATACTAATTATAACTTCATATTACAAGCACTTTAAAAAAATGAGCGGCCGATCATTATGGGTTTATATATTTACACATGCATCTTATAACGGCATCATATTAAACAGAAGTTTGCGGTTACAGCTAGCCTCGCAGGGTGCTGCACCGGAATCGCAGGGTTGCAGGCTTGATTCCTGCCAGAGGTTTGTAGTGGCATTTTTCGCAATTGCTCCTGTTGAGGTCTAATAAATTTATGAAAATTCAGAGTCGAAATTTCCATCTACAAAACTCTTCCTCGTATACTTTCACTATTTACCAAATGACAAGTATGTCTATTTACCATAGCCTACATACCAGATGGTCCACCCACTTAGCGGGAACGTTCGAGAAATGGGCGTAGAGAATGGAGGCGGGGATGCTGATTAATAATTTTATGACATGCATTGAGAAGCCAGAATTCTCGGCAATTCGACTGGCGCTTCGACGAGAGAGAATGCGTATAATAGTGACATGCATTTGGACTGTTTAGCCTAATACATGCACCTTTCAGGTTACATTTTAATCTAACATACCATATGAATACCTAATCAAGATATATGCATGCTTGCGGACATGTTGCCACAATTCGTCTAATATATAAACGAAGACGTCTGGTCTTGCATGGATGCACTTCGTCTTAGTAAATAAATTATATTTAAACCCAGATTAAATCAGTGGCAGAAATTCACTTTTTTCAGTGGTGGGGTGAAGCCTTCTGACAGCCCCCCCCCATTCAAACTTATCGTCTCAACGTCTTCATGTAATGTAGGTACGGTATATACCTATTGAGACATAATGCGTAAAATCGAAACATTCATGTAAGCAACGTTGTGATTTAACGTCACTCTAATCGAAATATTCATGCACTTGTTCGCAGGGGTGTAGCGACATGACCCTGCTTAAAAGTTGCGAGGTGCTCGGGACGAGAAAGGAGGATGCTTAGTAAAACAACAATTTATCATATACGTTGTGGATACGATCATAGTCGTCCAGCAGTTTCCTTTCGCTGTCGAAAACATGGCTAGATTAGCTTAAACACGACTGATACACCATAGGGGTAATAAATTCGTCAGACAAATGAAACAATGATGTACGTCGGTACAACTGAGTCATTAATATTATGTGTTAGCCTGCACAGATGTTTAATTCGTCCAGTATATATATATAAAGAAGTATAAGAGGATTAAAATTGGATGCACATCGATACAGATCAAGTGCTTTATATACTGTATATTCCAGAAAATTCTCCAACTGTTCATATTGTAATTATATATTATTATGCATGTATACCATATATTTCTTACAAAGTTTTAATGACGTCTTCCTGCATGTGCATACGGCTAATCTACCTTACTTTGCAATGAATTTTACAATGATTAAGACATGCAGAAAACGTAAAATATAGACATGCATGCAATTCGATTGTTTAGTCTTAACCATGCTGTGTCCATGCATATCAAGTTCTAATCGAGAATTGAATCACCTTAATGCAATTCAGTATGGTACACGAATATGCGTAAACTAAAATAAGATTACCAATGTAGAACTATAGTACACTACTGTAAATCACTAGTAGCTACAATAATATCCTACCTTTGTTAACTAGTTTATTCCTTCTACATTTCAAAGAGCAATCAATGACATGCAGCTTCGAGACACTTATTTCGCATGAATAGCTTTGCAATCTTTTTTCCATAAGCTCATATATTATATATGCTTATTTTCAACTATTGTTGTGTTGAATTAACCAATAATTTTGCACCACGCTGAAGACAACCCATCGAGGAGGTAGTTCCCAAAATATCAAACGAAAGGAATTCACAGACTTTAGAAGGGAATAGAGCCTTGCAAATGATGGCATACTTCAATATTATTGAAAAGTGCTTCTTCCTTGCAGGATATGCCAGTTTGAAACAAAAAGTCTGATAGAAACTGTGTTTCACACTGAAAGAGCACTCAAGCTCTGGAGTTGGTCTCAGTAAAGTGCCTACATCAACTCTTGATAAGAGTTTGCAGACACGACTGAATTGTTATAATTGCGACATTTGCGCAAGCATTGAATTTGTTTGATATAAAGGAAACATTTGAATCCAGGTCAAACTGTGCTCAAAAAATTAATTGTTCGTCCCTAAGTCAACTTCTAAGTGATTAACAGTCAACGCCTCTAATTTACAAAATCCGGTCAGCTTTCGCGCGTTTAATGCATGGTGTGTGAATTCGAATTTTATTCTGAGTGATTCTATATGTGCAACAGGTAGCTATAGCTTGCTTCAAAGCTCTATACAGCATATGTTGCCGTCACAGACGTTTTTTCGTCCGTATCCAAACAAAGATGACTAATCTCCGATGCACTTTGACTTAATGGGCCTCAGTAAAGAAACAATTCAGATTTTTGTGGCTACATTCTAAGTAAATTGTCCAACTGCAAATGTATTTATATATTTGGACTTAACACAAGACGTTGTATTTGTTAATTCAAAAACTCATTAATAATTCAGGAGCAAAACACAAAGAAAAATCATAAGCGTGTCGTGGTTTTTTATGTGATAAAAAATCACGTTAATTTACATATTAAACTTTAGCAATTAGCTTTGATTTTCTCGGTTTAGACAAAGTTTATTTTAAAAATTACTTCGCTAATGAACTCGTATAAGATAAGTCATTTTTGAAGCTATTTAAAGCACTTGTAGTCGTGTTTTATCACATATAAAACACTCCGCTACGCGTCGTGTTTTATATGTGATAAAACACTCCTATACGCGTGCTTATAAATAGTACTTTACAATCTTGACGTCTTTATTGAGATACCAGCTAATGTACTTTTTGCTACTCTATATATTGAAACAGAATGCCTGCAATATTCCTGCTTTAATTAACAAGTTTATTCCTTGCTACATTTTAACTGAGCAATGAAGACAAACTGACAAAGCTCCTAAACTAAACCAATATTTCGCACGAATGGCTTATTTGCAATCTGTTTGCACAAGCTCATGTAGACGCACACTTCCGAGTATTGTCATGCATGTGATTTTGTCACAACTCCCAGAATATCAAACGAAGGCCATTCCAAAGGCTTTGAGGGAAATATATGAAGCAAGTCTAGGAACCCTTAGAAATGATGTCATGATAGAATATTATAGATAGCTGATATACTTTTCGTTACATATATTGAGACAGAATACCGCTCCAATCGAGATATGCTTACACTTGTGCAGACCGGTCAACTCTCCCGGTGCTGCCGGGAGACTCCCGGCTTAACCTTTTTCTCCCGGTCTCCCGGTTTCAAGGTATTTTCTCCCGGTTGCTTGTTTTAATTGTTATGAGGTAATGGAATATCTTCCAGATTCAAATATCTGGCAAGAAATAGCAATCGTGTGAAAAAATCGTGTGTCCAAGCTGAAACTTACTCCATGAACTACAAGTGTTTGGCTTTTTTATCCACTTTCGCACTAGCTATAAGCGATAAGTAGATTATTGTATAAGGATATGAGATGTATACTGATGGGATCTCGAAAACTAGTTGCATTCTTGCCATGTTACCATTAGGGACCGGTCATTATTTATTGCGGGGGGTGGCACCGAAGAGAAAAAGGTTGGGTAAACAAAATTTTGAGTAAGTAAAAGGTTGGGTAAACGAAAAACAAAACAGCTCAAGGTTTGGTTTCCAAAGCATGACCCACTGAAATATTGGAGACTGAAAAGCAATGTGAACAGTCATTTGTCAATGCAATACGTGAATCAATCAGGGTAACTATCTTGATCATTTTGACAAAACAAATGGTGTTTCCAAAGAAAGTGCATGTGCAGACAACATGAAACTTTAGACTGCAGAAAGTTTCACAAGCCGTTATCAAACTCATGTCATAGAAGTGGTAAAAGACATGTGTGACAACTGAATGGTATCCTTTTGTAAAGTTTTTGGCCAGGGGTGGCTAATTAATTTTAAATTTATATTTCACGTTGGGTAATCATTTTTTTGTCTTTTTAATGGTTGGGTCAGCAAAATTTTTACCACGAAAAACGTTTCTCTTCGGTGCCACCCCCCACCATAAATAATGACCGGTCCCTTAAATTAAATTGAACAAGTTGTTCACGCAAATGCAATTATAATGATTATAAAGCCGGGAAAATGATTAGAATTTTTTACTGTTTTGACTCACTGCACATGACTTTAATTTTGTTCTCCCGATTTTTGATAAAATCTCACAGTTTTTTAAGGGCTAAAAAGCGAAATCTCCCTCTTTTAAAATTTTAAGGTTGACAGGTCTGCTTGTGAATATATTAATGAAAAATTAATGACGACTATGTCGGCGTCATTGGCCATAAAAGATGTTTATTTCGTCAGCGAAATTACTAGGATGCACTTTGACTTAGTAGGCCTTAATAAGAAATAATCCAGATTTTTGAGGCTGCATTCCAAGTGACTTGTTCAACTCTACATATTGTATTTAAATTTGCACTTAACACAAGACGATTTATGAGTTATAACGTCTTGACGTCTTCATGTCCTTCATGTAGATACCAATCAATGTACCTTTTGCTACTATACATATATTATGACATGGAATTGGATTAAGTTTCGTCTAATTAATGACGTACGTGTTACATATCGATAGTGCATGATACACTTGCTCAAGCTCAATGCAAACAGACAAGCAAATAAAGTATAATTATAATATGAAAGCGAGCTAAAGTTGTCTTCCTACCTTAACAAGTTCATTCCTTGTTACATTTCAAAGAGCAATAACAAAGTTTCGAAACTAAACCAGTATTTCACACCAATGGCTTTGCAACTGTTTGCATAAGTTCATATTATGTAGACGCACACTTCCGAGTATTGTCATGTGATTTTGTTGAAATGCAAAAGACAACCCATCGAGAAGGAAATTCCCAGAATATCAAGGGGATTTCAAGAGTCTTGAGGGAAAAGTATACTAAGAAACTCTGGGAATCCCTCGGAAATGATATCATGGTAGAATCTTAGGGGTCGTTCAGACTGAGTGCCCGGCACTGGTGCCCAATGTTCAAAATGGTTCACAAAACATGTTGAGCACAGTGCCGTTGTTGAGTACTACCTCTAGAGGTAGTGCCCGTTCTTGGGCACTGTGCCCAATTTCATTTGAAAGCGTCGTGTTCAAACTGGGAGCCAAAACAAGTGCCGGGCACCAGTGCCGGGCACCCAGTCTGGACGCAACCTTAAATAGCGCTGGTTCCTATGAAATGCTAGTTTGATTCGTTTGAGATAAAAAAATCGGAAGTCACTCAAGAATTTGCAATATAGCTGTTTAATATTCGGTTCATTTTCGAATATTAAATAGCGCTGGTTCCTAAGAAATGACGGAAGTCACTTTATAATTTGCAACACAGCTGTTTATAATATTTTTACAATAATTTATTATTTCATTGTTTTTATAATGTTCATGGGTTCAAAACCCAGCAAAGGCAGGCAGAAATTTCTGCTTCCGCGGTTTAAATTCCGGACTCATTCACTCGAGTATATCACAACATCAGATGGCACACGTATAGAACTAGTTCCAGCTAAATTTCTAGATTGACTAAATTTCAATCCAGGCAAGAAGAACAAAATCCATCACCACAGCTAGAAAGAGCATGTTAAAATTAGTAAAATTGCAAAGTTTGGCTGCGAAATGTTGTAAAATGCGGAAAATATAGCCCTGCGAAATTTGCAAATTTTGTATTAATTTGTATTGCGCACGGAAAATGCATCACATTTGGCGGGCCGAAAGTGGTGCAAATTCCCGTGCGTATTAATACTGTACAAATTAGTACAAAATTTCCAAATTTCGTAGGGCTATATTTTCCTCATTTTACAACATTTTTTAACCAAACTTTGCAATGTTACTAATTTTAACATGCTCTGTCTAGCTTGCCTAGAACAAAATTTAGGCTATATAGCCGGAATTGCCCATTGATACAAACGAGCATCTTTACGATATTCTGCAGCATAAAGTTCATAATTTACAGTCCTCTATCGAACGTGGCCGCGTAGTTGGAAGAGTGTCGAGCTCTATTCGTATTGTGACTTATTAACACAAGACGATTTATTCCTTATATGTGTGTTATGTATGTGCCGGTGTGAATGTAATTTTCTATTGATATGAACCCTCTTGATAAGCAACACATATATGCTTTTGGGGTAAACATCAGATAAATACATTTTTATATATATATAAAAAAAAGTTGGATTTAATTAGTTTTAACGTCTGAATATGCTTTTAAAATAGATTTGATAGGTTGAAAAGATTCGCATGAATTGATGCGGTTAACAATTTCAGCTAGATCAGTCATTGTCTTTCGTAGAAGCTGCGATCCATTTACGGCGGAATATCTCTATACTATTATTATATTCAGGACAAGTAAATTCGTATACCACCTGCAGATCTTTGATATTTTGTCTTGCGTTTTATCTTTGCATGAAAACAACTGGGTACCGTATGATAAAAGTAGCCAAATTTTAGGGACGTTGTTAGACTTGATGTCTAATCGTGTTTGTTAAACTGACGTTGTTAAAGAATGGCTTGAACGTCTTTCAAGAGGTTTTCAATTATACTGCAGTTTTTATGCGCGCGATTACATGTTGTTATCAGTTTCTCGCTTTAGTAAAAAGTGAGCCTGCATGCACACGAGAGCTCTTGAGAGATGAATCAAGATAACCAGATACTGATCCAACTGACAGCATCCATAAAATTTAAATACATTGCAAATGCGCTGCGCGACTACCCGATAACTCTAATATTATAGATATGCATTATGATAGATTGCCCTAATTTCTTTTTAAAGAATCGTGCGCCATTCAAATTTTCAATAACCGCTTTTGAGTTACATGTATAAACAGCAAAACCTCCTTGACTTCAATGTGAAATATCATAACTACATTTTTGTATCAACTGTAAAATATATTCGATAAAGTATTTTTCTACGACACTAGTGCCTGCATGGCATAAAAAATGACTGGCCATGCAGTTATTCGCAACTTCGAACGCAGGCAGTTTTGTTTTTCAGATCAGCCAGTTTGCATATAATATCTCATATAAATAACAAAGAAAAGAGTTTTAAAAGCAAGTGGAACAATGATTGAATTGAAGATGATATTCAAGTCAAATGTATTTATGCTGCAATGCTGCACCAATATACATAAACGACGCAGACATGACTAAAAAAGTTAATAATGCATTTTTTGCCGTTGTTTTCTTTCGTGGTATAATATTGGACAAGACCGCTGTTGTGTCTGAAATCTGCGGAAAGAAAATAGTTTTAACAGCTGAAACTGTAGGCCCTACTTGGAATTTTCAAAATATGGTTAATAACAGTCGATCTTTCGGATCAGAGTTGTGTTAAAAAGAAATGTGTTGCTCCAAGGATGTGACATGATATTTTAAAGACGTCTTGCTCTACTGGCATATGCATAATGTCTTTTTCTCTCTCTCTTGTAGATGATACCCTCCCATTATTCTCAAGCACTGCTGTCAGTTCACATATACTTAGCATAATTAAATTTCACAACTGACATGCAGTGAGGGCAGTTTTAACTTCTAAGAATCGTTTCCATCATAGTTTTAAAAAAGCGTCTTTCAAGCTCCATTATCTTTCTTACACTCTCGTTAACCTAGAGATACTAGCTTACATAGTCTGGTAATTGTAATGTGGTTATATTATATTTATGACCAGTACGGCACAAAATGACAACTTTGTCTTATTTGAAAGAACTTTAAAGTTGTATATGAATACCCTTCACAACTTTTTCGTATACCTTGCTTATATAGGCTATATATATAAATGCCAATAAAAATGTAGATTCTACTGTCACTGTATGAATTAAGCATGCTAATTACCCAAGTATTTTAATGTTGTAGTAACTAATGTTTCCTCCAATAAGTGAAGGGTTTTTGCAGATTGAAATTAATATACAATTTTATAGATCTAATCAGGAGCAGCTACGAAAATTGCAACGATCGCGATGTGCCCACTGGCATGAATCGAACCTGCGGCCTTGCGATTCCGGTGCACCTCTCTAACCAACTGAGCTTACAAAGTCCAGTTGTCAAGCTCTGATCACATGTGCTGTTAGTTCTATCCATCATGATTCTCCCAAATCTCGATATTAACTCATACTGTGCCTTATACCGGCATCACCCAATGCACTAAATATATATTTTATATATATATATATATATATATATATATATATATATATATATATATATATATATATATATATATATATGTAGGATGCCCATTAGCAATACGTCGTGTAACATTAGTTAAATAGGAACTATTGCATCATGCAGTTGTGACAGTTACCATAGTAACGAGAAAGGACAGACAAACAGATTTTCAAGATGGCGATTAGTCAACCACGTTGTTATTAATGTTCGCATTGTTTTACGAAATAAATTGTGCTTTCTACTGTTTTAATACGTGAATTATGGGATAGATCGAGAATTTAGTGAGCGGGCAACAAATTGGAGGTCCCACCGAGACTTTTATACATAAAAGAAGCTGTGAATGCGAAGGAAAAAGTATGATTTTTACGCTTTTCTAAATTCTTGATTTTCGTATTTTGATCTTTGCTTTTGGTGATTTGCTGGCGATTATGGCTGAAGAACTACAAGTAGAGATGCAAACAACGGTTTGCCAAGCACCCGAAGAAACGCTCCAGGCTATGGCAAAGGATTTTGAACTTGATATTTCCGAACAAAGGAAAAGTACAATTGTTTGCATGATTTTTAACCATATTGATAAAGAATTGATGGACAAAAACGAGGAACAACGAATGTTATTCTTGACAAAATTTCGCTCACGTTACTTTAAGAGCACAGAACCAAAAGAAAAAGATGTTTCAGAATCAGTACCCCTGTAAAACAAAACGCAGGACAAAGTCAAAGCACATTACAA